GCACATGGAAGACCTCTCTCTCTCTCTTCCTCTCTCTCTCTCTCTCTCTCTCTCTCTCTGTCTCTCCTCTCTCTCTGTGTAACTCTGACTTTCAAATAAATTAAAAAAAAGAGAGAGATGACATTTTACAATATCAGCTTAAAAATGTGAGAGAACACATAGTTTTTAAAAACATTGTCTATTTAAGAATTTAAAAATGTAAGACAACCATCTTTTTGATATTTCTTTAAATTTTTTTTTTTTGCAGACTTATTTATTTTATTTGAAAGAGTCACACAGAGAGAGAAGGAGAGGTAGAGAAAGAGAGAGAGAGAGAGAGAGGTCTTCCGTCCGCTGGTTCACTCCCCAATTGGCCGCAACAGCCAGAGCTGCACTGATACGAAGCCAGGAACTTCTTTGGGGGACCACCACCTTAAAGAGGAAGAATCGCCCTGAGTCCTGAGCCACTGTGGTTGCAGTCCAGAAAGACAGTAGAGGCAGGTCACCAGAGAGGTGGCCCTGAGAGACAGGAGTAGACAAAGAGTCCTCAAGGTCCCCACTGCTGGGCTTTGAACCTCCAGTCTCGGGTTTGCCCGTGGAGGGAGGGAGAAGACCCCAGAGAAAATCCTGCAGGCACGGAAGCCACCATGGTCCCCTGCTCCAGTTCCAGCTCTTCAGGACCAAGGGTCAATGCCCACACTGTTCCAGACCGTGAGTCACCACTGAGCTGCTGGACTTGGACCCAGAGAAGCTGCTGTCTCAAGGTGACTCAGCAGAACTTCTCAGCACCCTCTGTTGAGGCTGGGAGCTCACTGGACAAAGTGAGCCAGGAGCCAGGAGCTTTTTCCAGGTCTCCCACATGGGTGCAGGGGCCCAAGCATTTGGGTCATCCTCTACTGCTTTCCCAGGCCATAGCAGAGAGCTGGATCAGGAAGTGGAGCAGCCGGGACCCCAACTGGTGCCCATATGAGATGCAGCTTTACCCACCATAGCACCAGCCCCATCCAGTTTCAAGTGAGAAAAGACCACCGCCATCTCCTCCCACCCCCCTACCCCCTGCCATGGCCCACCTACTTGTGGAAGCCAAGTTCAGAGCAGAAGAAGCAGGGCTGAGGAAGCTGCCTCTCCAGCCCCACCTCTCAGGGTTTCAGACCTCAGCAAGCTGACTCCACACGCTGACCACCACTGCGAGAGTAGCTGGGGAGGCTGTCTAGGTGGCTGTCGCTGGAGTGACTGCTTTAAAAAAAAAAATTATTTGAAAGGCAGAGTGACCGAGGAAAGGAGAGACGCAGAAAGAGATACAGAGAAAGATGAGAGAGAGATCTTCTATCCGCTGGTTCACTCCCCTAATGGCCGCAATGGCTGGAGCTGGGAAGCCAGGTGCCAGGAACTCCATACCGGTCTCTCACATGGGATACAGGAGCCCAGGCACTTGGGCCATCCTCCACTGCTTTCCCAGGCACATTAGCCTGGAGCTGGATTGGAAGTGGAGCAGCCAGGACTCAAACCAGTGCTCTGATAAGGGGTGCTGGAGTTGCAGATGGCAGCTTGGCCCTCTGTGCCACAGTGGCAGCCCCAAGTGACTGCTTTAAGTGACCGTCTCTGTACAGGTCCATGGGGTATCTGTTTTTAGAACGATGGTGACTTGGATATTATCTGGATGTACCCCCGTCCTAGAAAACCATCGTAGGCTCTAAGCCAGCAACTCCCTTCTGCCTCCTGCAACAAGGAGGACTGCCTTTGGCCTCAGACCCACTTATCTATGCATCGGATTCTTCAGCGACAAGGTCAGTGTGCCTTACACCCGGGAACCGGCAGCATCTGGGGACACCAGGCATCTGGACACGTGGCAGCCGCGCTGCTGAAAATCAGACTCAGCCATGGCTCTGCTGCCTGGTGGGGACCAGTGTCACAACATGTCACTGTTCCAGAGAGCTCCTTACGTCCATCCCATGATGATCCTGGACTGCACTGGGAGATCTAAGCAGTCTGAGTGTAGAAGGCTCATGGGCTCTGCATGGCTCCTGGGGGAGCAGAAGTCAATGGACGATTGCTTTCCAAGCCACTGTGTAGGTGAGGAAGTCTGCAGCCCATCTCTGAAGTCCAGGCACAAGAAGGGAGGTGACGGACAGCAGCAGAGCTGAACAGACGCTGGGCACTCCCCTGCACTGATTGATCACCGGATCCCCTCTTGATCACCGGATCCCCTCCTGCCTTGGTTTCTGGGATTCCTGACTCTTACTCGGCCCTGACATTGCTTTCCTTCCTCTGCAGCAGAATGTAAAGACTGTTCTGACACCTCCCTCCCTCCATCCGCTTTGCCATTGAATTCTAACTTACCCCTCCCCTCTGCCAGGTCCTGGATTCAGAGGGGGTCGCAGGCTTTCAGAGACCGGAGGAGGGGAGGTCTCCTGACCGCCAGGGATTCCAGGGCCCTGGGGGATGCAGCTTAGGTGATGACCTTCCCTCCTGCGTGGTTGGTCTGACCTCCTGGGGCCAGGGCGAGGACTGGGGCCAATCAGGCATGGTTTGATTTTGCCCTGGAAGTCAAGGCCAAGTGGACCTCCTCTATATCCTGCTTATTAACAAACATAAAGTGTTCATACGTGTATATGTGTGGATTGTGTGTGTGTTCACACATATGTGTATAGTGATGCTTTATCATTGTTTTACCAAAATGTTGCTTTCATTAAAAAACTGCTTCACAGAAATCCCGCTATGTCACTGCTTCAGCTCTGGTGCATTATTTAAATGATGCATAGGATTCATCATTTGTGCAACCATTCCTCTAGTGAGGGGTGCTGCTAAGACCATTGCTGCAGGATCCAGCGCTGTGGCCCAGTGGGTTAAAGCCCTGGCCTGAAGTGCCAGCATCCCACATGGGCACTGATTCTAATCCCAGCTGCTCCTCTTCTGATCCAGCTCTCTGCTCTGGCCTGGGAAAGCAGTAGAAGATGGCCCAAGTCCTTGGGCCCCTGCACGCATGTGGGAGACCCAGAAGAAGCTCCTGGCCCCTGAATTTGGATCCAATCGGCTCAGTCCTGGCCGTTGCAGCCATTTGGGGAGGAAGACCTCTCTCTCTGTCTCTACCTCTCTCTGTAACTCTTTCAAATAAATAAAAATAAATGTTAAAAAAAAAATTCTGCAATAAACATCTCTGTACAGACACTGGAATAATACCGGTGGTTTTTTGTTTCCACAGAAGAATATCCTATCCTCAGAAATAAGTACTCCACTGCTGTTATTATTATCATTATTATTTATGGCATTTTCTGACATCTGATAATATAAAGTCTTCCTTATTATTCTTTTTCATATATGTCTTGGTTACTTGGGGGGATTTATTCTCCCACATAAACTATAATATCATTTTATCTAATTATAAAAATACCCTGTTGGCATGATAACTAAATTTGTGTTTATGAATTTATAAACTAATTTATTAGAAGTGACATTTTAATGTACTGTGTTCTCATTTGAAAACATGGTATTATTTCATTTGTTGATATCTTGCTTCTGTTCTCCAGTATAGTTTTAAAGTCTTCATTATATGATTCCTGTACCTTCCTTGCTAAGCCTGTTTCTAAGCCTTTTACAATTCATGCTGCTATGGAAAAGGGGTTTTTTCCTTCTTCCTTTTTTTTTTTTTTTTTTTTACAGGCAGAGTGGACAGTGAGAGAGAGACAGAGAGAAAGGTCCTCCTTTGCCATTTGTTCACCCTCCAATGGCCGCCGCGGCCGGCGCGCTGTGGCCGGCGCACCGCGCTGATCCAATGGCAGGAGCCAGGTGCTTCTCCTGGTCTCCCATGGGGTGCAGGACCCAAGCACTTGGGCCATCCTCCACTGCACTCCCTGGCCACAGCAGAGAGTTGGCCTGGATTTCTTCCCTTTTTTTTAAAAGATTTATTTATTTGAAAGGCAGAGTTACAGAGAGAGAAAGAGAAAGAAAGAAGGACAGTGAGAGAGAGAGAGAGAGCTTCCATCCACTGGCTCAGTTCTCCAAATGACTGCAATGGCCAGAGCTGGGCCAATCCAAAGCCAGGAGCCAGGAGCCTCTCCCAGGCTCCCCATGTGGGTGCAGGGGCCCAAGTACTTGGGCCGTCTTTCACTGCTTTCCCAGATGCCTCAGCAGGGAGCTGGATTGGAAGTGGAGCAGCCAGGACTTGTACCAGTGCCCATATTGGACGCCGGCACTGCAGGCAGTGGCTTAACCCTTACGCCACAAGGCCATCCCCCACTTCTATTTCTAGATACTCAGCTGAAGTATAATAAAGCTATTGATTTTTATATATGTGTCTTTTCTTTAAAAAAAAACATTTATTTATTTTGTTTGAAAGAGTTACAGAGAGAGAGAGAGGGAGAGACAGAGAGAGATCTTCCATGCACTGGTCCACTCCTCAAATGCCTCAAGTATCAGGGCTGGGCCAATCCAAAGCCAGCAGCCAGGAGCTTCTTCGGGGTCTCCCACATGGGTGCAGGGGCTAAAGCACTTGAGCCATTTTCTGCTGCTCTCCCAGGCACATTGGCAGGGAGCTGGATCAGAAGTGGAACAGCTGGGAAATGAACCAGCGTCTATACGGGATGCTGGCATTGTAGGCAGCAAACACCAGCCCTGGTGAATGTGTTTCGAAGCTAGACAGACTGTTACTGGAGAATGGCAGGGTTCTTGTCTTCGCGCAAGAAAGAATTCAGGCGTGAGACAGAATAGTAGAAAGTAAAATAGCAAGGTTTATTAGGGAAGGGACATCTGTAAGAACGGATGGGCACCTCTACAGACAGAACCTGAGAGAGTGCCCAGTCACTCGGACTAGGGGAGAGTGGGGTTATTAATCACTCATACTCTGAGAGACGCACTGAGGTGTTGCACTAACCCTACAATCTTGTCCATTTACTCTGGAAACCACAGGCGCCATCGCCTGCGGGCGCCTCCCCGGCGCTCCTCAGCAGGAAGCTGGAGCCGGGAGCTGGGAGGAGCGCTCTCCACACGCCTGCCCGCGCCTTGCACTTCAAACGCGGAAGGGGGCAAGGACGCCAGCGAGGGCTGGGGATTGGCTCGCCCAGCCCCACCCCTCGGCGGCGGGAGTCCGAGCGTGCACGCGGGCGCGGGCCGCGGTCGGGGCAGCCCCGGGCTCCGGTTCTCGCCGCACCGCCTGCAGCCGCGGAGGGGCCCCGGGCCAGGCGCGGGTGAGTGACCCTCCCCGCTCCCCGGTGGCCGGGTCGGGCTGGGCCGGGCTTCCCAACTCAGACGGAGGGGAGCTCGCCACTCGCTCCTCGGCGCTTCGCCGCCACCCCCTTCACGGCGCCCGGACCAGCGTCCGCCGCGGGCCCGGTCTCTCGGCGACGGGGACCTCGGAGGCCCGCCGGGCGGCGGGAGCGGGAGCGGCACCAGACCCGCGCGGGAGTCGGGGTCGGGGGTCGGGGGTCGGGGGTCGGGGGCCGGCCTGCAGGGGGCGCCCGCTCACTCCCTCTGTTCCTCAGCGACATGTTGGCCGTGCACTTTGATCAGCCTGGTGGCGCAGAAAACCTCTACCTGAAGGAAGTGGACAAGCCGAGCCCGGGCGACGGGGAAGTCCTGCTGAAGGTGGCGGCCAGCGCCCTGAACCGGGCCGACATTCTCCAGGTGCCCGGGGGTCCGCGGAATCCTTAGCACGGTGGGACTCCGGGACCTCAGCCGGAGTTTGCTTCCACAACCTGACCTGACCGCACCGAGGAAGATGGCCTGGGACGCTCCCGGCCACACCCGTCACGAGGATGCCTGAAGCCGGTTGCCCCCCCCCCCCTTGCACAAAACAAAATCAGGGAGCATTTGCACAGCGGAAACCCTGGGTTAGCCTACTCAGGACTCCAGGGAAGGGGAAGGGTGTGTGTGAGGCATTTGCGGGGTGACTCCACAGACAACCCCGAAGTTCATCGTTTGCATCTAGGGATGGAGGACGTGGAGTCAGAGTGGGGAAGCAGTGAGCCCAAGGCCTCCGCGCACGGGAGCGATCTGAGGAGCTGTAATACAAGTTGTCTCTTCAGGGCTCCACAGTTTGCTCTTTGCACTCTGGGGGTCTCGGGCTGGCAGGGGCCGTACCCTGAAGAACTCCCTTCTGTCTGTTGCACTGGTTGGGGATCATTCAGCAGTGTGCATCAGGGGTGGGTGCTTGGCCAAGTTAGTTAGGACGTCCACATCCCACGTCGGAGTACCCGGGGTCAGCTCTCACTTCAGCTCCTGACTCCAGCTTCCTGCCGATGCAGACCCCGGGAGTCAAGAGTAATGATCCATGGGGTGGAGTCCCTGCCGCCCATGTGGGAGTCCTGGATGGAGTGCCCAGCCCAGGCTGCAGCCTGACCCAGCATTTGAGGAGTGAACCAGCACATGGGAGTTCTCTCTCCCTTTTCCTGACTTACAAAACCTGACTTCACCCTGAATTTGCTGTGTGAGCAAAAGAGGGGACTTGGGAAGAGGAGCCGGGGATGGTGACAGATTTCTGACCATATGCATCCCTTTCTCTGCAGAGGCAAGGTGGCTATCCCCCACCCCCAGGAGCCAGCAGCATTTTGGGACTCGAGGCATCTGGACATGTGGCAGAGCTGGGGCCTGGCTGCCGGGGGAATTGGAAGATCGGCGACTCGGCTATGGCTCTGCTGTCTGGTGGGGGCCAGGCTCAGTATGTCACTGTCCCGGAAGAGCTCCTCATGCCCATCCCAGAAGGACTGACCTTGCTGCAGGCTGCAGCCATTCCTGAGGCCTGGCTCACCGCCTTCCAGCTGTTACACCTCGTGGGTGAGGAGGTTCCCCCACGCTCACCCCGCACAGTGTGGCTCAAGCCCTCCGTGAATCAGCCACCTCACACCCCAGCAGTCCTCCAGGCCCACGGCCCCTAGCACCTGCCCTGCTGCACCACCAGTAGCGTCAGGTCCTCAAGCCGCGTTAGAATGATTTGATATTGAGGCTTAGAATTGCAGTTTAGCAGATAGAAGGCCCATGTACATCTTATACTGTAGGCCCATCAGCAGTCTTAGCTTCTCAGAATCCTGTTGAGCTTCTCTCCAGGGATGCTCCGGAACAATGGAAGCGGCCAGTCAACTCGCTCATTCCTCCGCGATTCCTCCGAGGCCCGCTGGGGGCTTACAGGAGGGAGCTGAGGAAGGCCTGGCTACTGCCTTTAGAGAGCTCGGTGTATGTAGAAAGATGCCAAGAGCACCGGGGTGCGAGCCGCTGTCCCACTCAGGATGGCTGTTGGCACCTGTGAAAGAGGCTAGGGTCAGGCTGTGGCAGCCTGGAAGGCCAGGCCATCTGAGCTCCATGCAAAGCCAATGGAAAACCACTTTGCGTTCTGAAGAAGTAACACAATGAAAGACCCATTTTAGGGAGTGGGGCCTGATGCCTGTGTGGTGCCTGGGTCAGTGGGAGCTGCTTCAGACTGAAGAAGGGCTGGCTTCAGCTAGTGACAGTGGGTTATTCCTACTTACTCGGGTGTAGGTCAGAGATGTGCATTGTGGTGTTACTTCCCAGATCATGGGTGTGGCTGCTAATAACCGTATTTCGAAGGGCTGTCATCCATGTTCTCCAGAGGTAATAAGACAACAAAGAACTGTCGAAGAAAGCAGGCAATGGGCATTTGGCCCAAGGGCCAGGTGATCTGGGCAGAATGTAGCTGTGTGGGACTGTGTAGCGTATGGAAAATGAAGAGAACAGCTCCTGTACTTTCCGTCACAGGGAACGTTCAGGCTGGAGACACCGTGCTGATCCATGCAGGATCGAGTGGTGTGGGCACAGCTGCCATCCAACTTGCCTGGATGGCGGGAGCCATCCCTCTGGTCACAGCTGGCTCCCAACAAAAGCTTCAGATGGCAGAAAAGCTTGGAGCAGCTGCCGGCTTCAATTACAAAGAGGAGGATTTTTCTGAAGCAGCCCTGAAATTCACCCAAGGTAAACCACAGCGCAGCAGGAATTGAAGAGATGAGTAAATGGTATCCTCCCCGCCCCCTGCGCACGCGCCCTGATCACTAGTGCCCTGGCTCAGTCTTGCCTTGCTAAATGTACAACAGCTGCCCCTGCTGTTTGACCCTGAGACACAGTCAACATTCAAGTCCAAGATAGTTACCATGTGCATGCCTGCAAGTGATGGAAACATACATGCTTCAGCAACTGGATAATCATGCACAGTTGGCTTCGAATGATGTGGGCCCTCCATCTCCCAGTCAGCCACCTGGCAACGAGTTACGGGAAGCTTGGGGCAGAGACAAGATTGAAGCTGGCCCTTAGGAGGGGTGGGGTGGTACCTCCCTAAATGGGTCAGTAGGAGTGCATGCGTCTGTATTCCCAAGCCAAATCTGGGCTCTTTTCAGCTCAACCCTTTCCATTATTCATGAGGAAAAAAAAGGAGAGAGAAAGACAAAACCAAAATTCACAAGCCTGTGACTCATGGTAGTGCTCATGGTGCTCATGGTAAAGCACTGGCCAGTGTAGACACTTCTTGCCTTTCATGTGAATAACCAACCTGCCCCATGGCCTGGAGTGGAGCTCCTCTGTTCTGTTCTCACTCATGCCTGGGGACCAGTGAGACTATCCTTGGGTAGGGTCAGGAGGCGAGGCCAGGACACGATGCTGCCCCATGTCCCTCTTGCGTGGTGAGGGATCTTAAAAGATGAACTGCACCACACGTCACATCATTAGGGTTCACGATCTGAGCTCTGTGGCCCGCATGCTTCTATGAGCCAAGTTTCTAGTTCCGACCCATAGATTTGCTCATTGCACCTGTATTTATTGTATCTGCAAATAGACTATGGAATCTTATTTTTGCACCAAAAATCTTTCCTCTGGAAGGTGCTGGAGTAAACCTTATTCTAGACTGCATAGGCAGCCCCTACTGGGAGAAGAATGTCCACTGCCTGGCTGTTGATGGGCGCTGGATTCTCTATGGCCTGATGGGAGGAGCCAACATCAACGGGCCGCTGTTTTCAAAGCTACTTTCTAAACGAGGAAGTCTGATTGCTAGTTTGCTGAGGTCCAGGAACAAAAAGGTGAGTGATGCAGGAAAAGAAGTCATGATGTCACTGTTACCCAGAACCTGCTGCATTTATGTGAACCTGGAAGGGAGCCTCTGAAGAAATCCGCCACCTTGTGGGTAAACAGGCGATCTGATTTCAGAGGACAATCGCTGACAGATGCCCCGGTGTCTTGCAAGTACCTCGTACACTCGTATCCTCTAAACTTCCTAGCAGAAGGAAGAAAGCATTGGCCATATTAGGAAGTCTTCTGATAACTCTTAAGATTTTGTTTTCAAAGGCAGACATTTTCTCTGTGTGCTGAGAAAGCCTCATAGCTAAGGAAGTAAGCCTCTACCTTCAACAGCTCACATGTTTCTGGAACCTCTGTGTGGCAGCCTAGCGGGCACCAGCTTGGGGAATGTTTCCCCCCTTCGGGCTTCACACCTGCTGGTGGATCACGGACCTTAAGCATTCTTTTTGCACTGAGCCTACGTTGGGCTGTCTCTTGCAAGACACCTTTATTTAACAACAATCCTGAGGCTATCAGTATCATTAACACAGTCAAGCATCGCCTAAGGAGGGGGCTGCCTTCTGAGAAATGTTAGATCAGTTGTATACATCATACAGCATACTTACTGACTACATACAAACTAAGCATACATACATACTAGCATACATACAAAGACAGCTCCAGTGTCTCTAGGCAATAGAATTGTGGGGGATAGACAGAATACATGCCGTCAGTTGCTAACCAAAGCATCTTCATGGGCACCCGAGTTTTCCTCCAGGCTTTAGTTTTTACCTGGCACAGAATGGAGACTACACATTTAGGGGCGTGCCCCTACTTCTTGGGAAGTGAGGGGGTTAAGGATCCTGGCCCTGTGTGCTTTTTCAGACGTGTAGTTGCAGAAGAGCTAAGCGGGGTGGGTAGCGGCAGGATAGGGCCTCTCTCCAGGCTGATGGCCTCCTTTTTCCTTTTCTTAGTACAAGCAGATGCTGGTGAGAGCTTTCACGGAGCAAGCTCTGCCCCACTTCTCCACGGAGGGCCCCCAGCGTCTACTGCCGGTTCTGGACAGAGTCTACCCCGTGACTGAAATCCAGGAGGCCCATAAGTACATGGAAGCTAACAAGAACGTGGGCAAAATCGTCCTGGAGCTGCCTCACTGAGCAGGACGCGGCCACCTCAGGCCTTCCCAGAGCAAACTTTGAGAAAATTCGGTTTACAGTCGAGACTGAACCCGGGTTAATCCTCCGCCTGCAGCGCCGGCATCCCATATAGGCACCGGCTTCTAGTCCCGGTTGCTCCTCTTCCAGTCCAGCTCTGCTGTGGCCCTGGAGTGCAGTGGAGGATGGCCCAAGTGCTTGGGCCCTGCACCCCATGGGAGACCAGGAGGAGCACCTGGCTCCTGCCTTCGGATCAGCGCAGCTCCGACCTTAGCGGCCATTTGGGGGGTGAACCAACGGAAGGAAGATCTTTTTCTCTCTCTCACTGTCTGTCAAATAAAAAAATTTAAAAAAAAAAAAAAGACTGAATCCACCCCATGTTCGCCTTGTCAAGTGACCCATATAAAGCCGGTCTAAGGAAATAAAAGTAATGGACTTAGCAGCGTGGTCACGGGGCGGCTGGGATCGCAGAGGCGGGGCCGAGGTGGGAGTCAGGACGGGCACCGTCTCGGGAGAAGTCTGACTTAGGGGATTCTCTCCACGAGGGGCCACTCCAGGACCCTCCAGGGAGGCTCGGGCCGCGACACAAGCCGCCAGAACCTTGTAGGCTCCGCCTTGCGGACTGCTGGAGGCCCATGCTCACGCCGGCGCCGCGTACAAGCCGCGCGCTCGGGCGCCTGGCGTCTCGGGCCAGGCCCCGCCCTCTGCCGCTACTCACCTGGGCTAGCTCCACCCCCTCTTACCCCGCCTCCTCTGCTCTCGGCCGCCCTACCGGAACTTATGGGCCAGTGTCCCGCCCTTTCCGGTACAGAACCCGGAAGCGTCTTGGGCGCCCGCCTTTCCGCCTTCCGGCCTCGCAACGGATTGCTGCGGGAGTGTTTTCAGACGGGGTTGTACGTCAGCACGTCTCGGCGTAAGGCGGCCATATTCCGGCAGTGACATACAGCTTCCGGCAGGACCTGGGTGTTGCTTGTTGTGTGGGGTTTGACGCCGTGTTGAGCTCCCAGCCGAGCTAGCCCCCGAGGCGCCTGGTTGAATTTCGGTGTCTGCTACGGTAACCTCATCCGCCCGCCAAGATGGCGATGCAAGCGGCCAAGAGGGCGAACGTGAGTAGTGGGCCCTTCTGCGGGAGAGGGAGAAGACTTCGCGGGCTCACTTCTAAGCGGCGTGGTTCCGAGCGTTCTTGCGGGTCTTCGGTCGCCGCGACCTGGAAGCCCGAAATTCCCAATCGTCTCTCGTCCTGTTCCGCCTGTGGGGAGCCGCTGCGGTCTCCCAGTGTCAGTGTTAGCCCTGCAGCCTCTCTGGCTTGATGTGCGCATAAGATCTGGCTTTAGGATCTGCTGTGCCCGAAAGTCGGCGGCAGAGACGAGTCCTCAATAAACAACGATTCACCAGCAGCTGGAGCCTGGAATTCTCAGATCAGGGGACTTTTGAGATCTTTCGTTAACTCCTTATGTTCCCATCAGCCTACATATAGGACACTTAAATCGAGCAGTAAATATGCCACTTACAGTAACTTTGAAATAAGGATTACATTGTTGAAATATTCACAGGGTGAAAACTTGGGACTTGAAGGGTTGAACGTATTCGTTCAACAATATGTTTTGAGCACAGATCGCCTCTATGTGCCAAACACTAGTCTAGGTATTGAGGATACAACAGTGAGTTCAAGTTTTTCTGCTTACAGTCCTGTGTTAACAGAGTGGAGTGTTAAGGAAACAGCAGTCAGCCATAAGGCGTTATAGGTACAGAATGAAGACAGGCAGTCAAGCGTGGGGATGTGTCGAAATGGAGACTTCGGTGGCCTTGATGATAGGAATCATTTCTGTGCATGAAAACTGGGCTGCAGTGGGCCGGAAAGATGGTGTAAGCTGAGGAAATGGCAATGAATTGTCACGTACACAGAGAAATTGGATGATAGTTGACTTTTTAAAAAAGATCTGTGATGTAAGGAACATTTGCATGCTAATAAAAATGACCTAGTAGAATAGGAGACATGGATGGAAAGAAAAACCCCGGAGTGAAGGTTTGAGTAGCTGGCAGGTGGGTTACTAACAGAGGGAGAGTGGGTAGATACAGAAGAATGAGCTTCCCTGGGTTTAGTGATAAGAGTATAAAGTGCTTGCCATTGGTCAATCTGTTTTCTCCAGGAGCCACAGTTGTCAAGGCGTCAGTGTCGGAAGCCTCAGAGGAGTTAAGTGTGAGGAGACTTGTACGCTGCAGTTGCAGGTTCTTGGTTAAATGAAAGCAGTTTGAGCAGCGTGCTGTGGTGGAACCTGGACTGGGTAGATTTGAGTGTTGGGGGCTAGTGAGTATCTTTTACCCGATGCTCTGCTAAAATTAGAGAGCAAAGTAGGATGTAAATAGAGCTGATGAGTTTGGGGAAGGCAGAAGCTTTGCCTTTTTTCTTCATTGTGTAGTCCTAATACCTAGCCTAGTGTATTCATAATGAAGGCACTTAGTAATATTTGTTGAATGAATGAGGGACCCAAATACACATTTTGTCTAAGGATTGGCAGGACATGAGCAGCTGCTCGGGTGAGGAACAGAAGAAGCCAGTGGTGAGGGAAAGCCTGTAAATTCAAATGAGAGAAGAAATTGTTGATGCAACAAGTTCCCGAGAAGACAAGAGAAGGGTCAGCAGTGGAAGTTTTGTTGTCTAGCACATGGTTTCTGTTATTCCTACACATGTCTGAGGCATCAGGGACTTTTAAATGAGTTTGACAAAAGCCTGAGTTTTGTAGTATCCTGTTGTTAGTTTCTACTGCTACTTCAGAAAGTTAGTGGGAAAATGGAGTGAAAAGATAAGCTTATTTTGGTACAAAAAATGTTGAAATCTGTCGCTCCCCCTCTTCGTGGAGGAACGACACAGGACCCTGCGCTGTTCTTTCGTCTGCTCGGCCCTCCCCGGGTTTGCTGCTGGTTCTTCCCGGGTTGGCTACTATCCCTTCCACCTCCGTGGAAGGGCAGTTCCCCCTGGCCACATTCCCCACTTCCGCAGGGGAGCGGCACACCGCCGGCCGGCTTTCTCGGGGGCTGCACAGGTGTTCCCCTTAGATGTTTCCCTTAGATGTTCCTCGGTGCATGCCGTCTCTCTCATCCTTTATAGTCCTCCTCCGCCAATCCCAACTCGGCTGCCCACACGCCGAGTACGCTGCTCTCCAATCAGGAGCAAGTCCTACAGTTTATTGGTTGAACTGGAGGCAGCTGGGTAGAAGCTGTTTACTCCTCTCCCAGCGCCATATTGTGGGAGAGCAGATGCATAGAATAAGTCTTAACTCCAGTAACTCAGTCCAGTCCGGATTGCTCCCCACAGAAATCCAGGCACAGCTTTTCATAATGTACATTTTCTGTGATAAACAGTGCTCCATTGCTTTTCCGAAGAGCATACCATTCTCAGTAACACTGGACTATACCTGCTATCCTTGACTTCCATTATTCTGTATCATTGGAAGCTTTTTTGAAAAAAAATAGTAGCATTTCTGCCCCAATAATAATGACAACATATTTCTCATTTTAGATTCGACTTCCACCTGAAGTAAATCGGATTTTGTATATAAGAAACTTGCCATACAAAATCACAGCTGAAGAAATGTATGATATATTTGGGAAGTATGGACCTATCCGTCAGATCAGAGTGTGAGTCTTTTGAATTGTCATTTAAAGAAGATGGTTGTGTGATCTCTAATTTCAGAATGACAGCTGACAGCAAGGCCACCCTGTGTAGTAGGCAGTGGTAGTGACTCAAATAGTTCGGTCGTTGCTGCTTACATGGGAGACCTAGGTTGCTTTCCAGTGCCAGCCCTGGCCCAGCCTCAGCCATGTGGGCATCTGGGGAGTGAACCAGCAGATGGGAGCTCTTCTCTAAATAGTGTGTCTCTTTCTCTCCTCTCAATAAATAGATAATTTTTTAAAATAGTGTTGGATAAATTATAGAGAATATGAAGTAGTAATGAATGCTTTGGAGAGAATGGCTGGGGACGGAAGGAACTAACTTTATTGCCACCTGCCATTTGTGAAGTCAAGTGTTACACTGTGTTTTCATATGCATACCCTCTTCACTGCCACTATTACTAACTTCAGAATTTCTGAATAAGCTGAGTAAAAGGGTATAATAGTAACTGAGATTAATGCTATTTTATTTTCAACTTTGGCTTTTTGTTGAACATTTTAAAATATAGTGAAAAACATCTATTACAAGAATGTTCATGTTTTAATTTAATAGAAAGATCGAAGTTTATACCTTTAAATGATTTATTGGGTATCTGCTAAATACCAGTTACCATAATGGGTAATTTTATTTGCATCAACAAAACAATAGCTTATGTGAGAGTGATAGTGTCTATTTTACAAGGGAGGTACCAAGGCTCGGGGAGTAAAAGTACCTTGCTAGTCTCCCACAGTGTTAGTGACAGCCTTCTGACGCTGAATTGAACCTCTGCAACACAGCACCTTTGTCTCCGCCACTCTTAAGCAGCATGAAAAGACTGGTCACTTAGGAGTCTATCTGAAAGGATTTCTAAAATTTTTACTTTTATTTATTTTTTTTAAAGATTTATTTATTTGAAAGGCAGAGCAACAAAGAGAATGAGAGAGAGAGAGACTGAGAATCTTCTGTCTGCTAGTTTCCCTCCCCAAATGGTCACAACAGCTAGGGCTGGGCTAAGGCAGAATCATGAGCCAAGAACTCCATCTCTGACTCTCATACGGGTGGTATGGACCCAAGTAGTTGGGCAGCTTCTGCTGCTTTCCCAGGGGCATTAGCAGGAAGCTGGATTGAAAGTAGAGTAGCCAGGACTTGAATGAGTACTCCGATATGGGATGCTGATGTCACAAGTGGTGGGTTAATCCAGTAAATTTTCTTTTATGACTGAGAGCTCTTTTCTGGCATTTAGGACTGGGAGATCTTGAAGATTCTCCTTTTGAATGATTACCATCCCTCCAGCACCACAGCTCAATAGGCTAATCCTCCACCTTGCAGCGCCGGCACACTGTTCTAGTCCTGGTCGGGGCGCTGGATTCTGTCCCGGTTGCCCCTCTTCCAGGCCAGCTCTCTGCTGTGGCCCGGGAGTGCAGTGGAGGATGGCCCAAGTGCTTGGGCCCTGCACCCCATGGGAGACCAGGAGAAGCACCTGGCTCCTGCCTTCGGATCAGCTTGGTGCGGTGGCCGCAGCGCGGCGGCCATTGGAGGGTGAACCAATGGCAAAGGAAGACGGAAGACCTTTCTGTCTCTCTCTCTCACTGTTCACTCTGTCCAAAAAAAAAAAAAAAAAAAAAAAAAAAGAGCAAATTGTCATTGGTATGCAAATAGGGATGAAAACAGAAGTGTTAGGGACCAGCTGTCCTTTTGAGTGTCTGATAA